TTTTTGCCTCAAACATATGTGAGCTCCTGGCTTGTAGTATTTGTCCTTTCATTTGTGCGCCCAATTCAGACAATCAAAATGATGTCAGTGAAAGGTGTGAACCACAAATGACGTCAACTGCTATCAAACAACAACAACAACAACAACAACAACGAGACAACATAAAAGTAATCCCGAACTGCAAGTGACAAACATGACAAGCAGCATGATTAATAAGCAGACGGACAAGCCCCGAAAACAAAAGGACGAGGCAAATGCGAAGCGAGGCAGGCAACTGGCAAATCACAAAAGCAAGCGAAATGTCACGGTTACAGTAACAGTTTAAGTCACAGGTTACACGCGTTTAAAATACCCTTTAAAAATAATAGAGTATGCTTGACACATGGATATATACATAAATATATACTGTATATATATTATATTCTGCAATGGTAGATTACAGCTAAGCTCAAAAACTAATCTCATTACATCAAATTGCATTCTACAGGGTACCTGCTAGTCGTGCACTCATGCTTAGCTCAGCTACCGTCGCAGGGTATTTACTCTTCGTTCTCTGCTGCGACTCAGTTGTTTTGCAATTAGCCTTTGGCTTTTCTAATTTTAATGAACCGCACAAACAGAGAAAAACGCAACCGACAGGGGTGCCAAAAATATAATTTGTGTCACATTGACGCATCCCAACGCAAAAACGGGGAACACAATGGAATGGAACACGGAGCCGGCTGGGTGCGATGGGCTACAGGTGCGTGCGGCTCGCATTTATGAACTCGTTACACGTAATTAGGGTCAGTCTGTACGTGCCTGCGTGTGTGTGAGTGTGTGTAACTCCATGCGGGTATATCTATCTCTAGTTAGATATCAGAGCATATCCTCTCCTGACTCCCTCTCGCTCTGCTGTGCGAGCTGACAATTAATTAGTGTGGGGCAACAGCAGAGAGAGGCCCAGTGGATCTGGTCAAATGTGCGGCCTATTGAAATACAAAACGGTTTTTGGGGGCCAGCGCCACAAAAGTCATAAAGCTTCTTTGGCCGCTTTAATTAGGCAGCCATGTAAATTAGCCAGAAGCAGGACAACCAGGCCAGGCCAGACTAGCCCGATAGGCAAAGGCTCTGGCTCAGGCTCAGGTGTAACGCACATGCGAAGCTGCCAGCAAACGGCCGTACACTATTTATTATGAGCCGTCGCGTGTGTGTGTGGGTGTGGCCCATGCCAGAACTCCACCCAGCCCCAGCCCCCTCCGCAGTCCGCTCCCTCTCCCATATAGTCGCATTAATTGGCAGTGGCCATTCCATTTTAATTAGTTTTCGCAACGGTTCAAGAGCCCCTGGCGCCAGTTGCCAGTTGCCAGAGTCCGTCGTGAATTATTATGCCAGGCGTAATATATTTTATAAAACGCTGACTTCTACGCTGCCTGCATGTGGGTGTGTGTGTGTGTGTGCGTGAGGGCCTGTGAAATTATGCAACAGCATATATAGAAATACACACACAAACTTATATGACACCGCTGCCAATGACGTCGAATTTAATTGAGTTGCAATGCGGTGGCCGCTGTGGAATTTGGCGGATTGCAGCTGCCAACACGACGCAGGCCGCACTCCCATTTATCAGGCGCGGGGAGGTGGCGAGGGCGTGGGCGGGGTCGGCATAATGTTTCTGTAGCTGTGGGCTAATTATATGTTAGCTATTTGGAAATTAACAGTTCAAATAACAGTTGAAATTCAAATAATGGTTAGCTGCGTATGCCTTCAAGCTTGTAATGTCAAGGATCAAGGAGCACGGCAGGATATGTGACAGTGATCCATAGCCAAATGCAGGGCAAGCGGAAACTAAAGCCAGACGCCAGGCATTTGGCAAGGGAAATGGCTTTAATTTATGCCATAGTTAAGTTTAGAGCTGTCAAGCTTAGCTATATTTAAACATTTTTATGCTTAGCTTATAATTCGCAAGTGGTTCTAACATAAATTGCATCAAATCGAATATTTAAAGTGAGCTAATTGCTTTATGATAAGCCCGCGATAAAATGAAAGTAAGAAAACTTATTTATTTGAGTCCATCAAAGCCAAGGCGAAGACTTTTTCTGTCACTTCAATGCTTCAGAAGCATCCAGAATAATATAAATAGTCTTCTTTTTTTTATATTTTTTTTCTCTTTTTAGGCAACCAAATTTGAATTTAAGATGTCTATAAAATACGTATAAAATATTCAAGCATAAATAACAATAATAATTCGCCTCAAGCAACGCCGGGGAACTTCTAGCTTACAATAAGTGAAGCGAAAATTAACCGAACTACTTTCAGGAAACATAAGACCACCGCAGACGGCTTCAAATAACCCCCGAAAATAAATGCTTGAGGATTAGGAAACCCGGCAAGACAATAACAAATGAAAACCTCAAAAATGCAGCTAGAAAGTGGCCTAATAAAGAGCTCGTCTCAATGATCACAATGCTTAGCTTAGCTAAGGTCAACGAATTCAGAGATCGCTGCTCAAGAGGAAGCCAGTAATAAATAGCCCAAAACGAAGACCCTCAATTGCATAGAACCATCAGCGTGTGAACCGGACAACACCTGTAAATACTGGAACAACAACCCCCAAGGAGGCACATCTAATGCCACTTGACTTAGTCTGAGTAAAGGATATTTTACATTCAGTTTGAAGCCAATTGCACAATGAAGTTGTTTTGATGCTGCCAGCGACAGCTGCCAGCCACTGACATTTCCCCCCTGACTGTCTGCCTGGCTGCCTGCATGCTGCCCTCCTCCGCAGAGTCTGTTGAATGTAAAACTATATATTAATCAATATTTATGGCAGCTACGGGCATAATAACAAAAACCGAGGCCATCTATCAAGAGGCAGGCACAGAACGAGCACAAATTGAGCAGACCCGAATCGAGAGGAACCTGTTATGTGAGCCAAGTGCAGGGCAAACAAGGCCGGACTGAGGGAGGGGTACAGGTACAGGGGCAGAGCCAGAGCCAACTCTGAAGGTAAAGGCAATAGCAAAGGCAAAGGCAGAGCTATAGTTGGATTCATGCTTGTATGCACTTTGACCACAAAAAGGTCAAGACGCTCCCAAAGATACAAACAGACTAACGTATACAGAGAGAGACGGCGAAGAAGAGAGAAAGAGAGAGAGAGAGAGAGGATGAGTGGGACTGAAAGACACACAGGGCAATCAAACATATGTATACCCTGTAAATGTGTGCGTAAAGGCTAGTTACAGTTAGTCAAACAATATGTTTATGCCTACCTTAAGATACGAATCAATCTGCCTAGACATTCGGTATGCTGTTTATGTGAACTAAGCTTGCAGCGTTGCCAGATTGAGGAAATATAGTATAGCTGCTTCTTCTTATAGATTCCTGTGTCAAGCTTTCGGTCTTGCTTTTAACTATTTCTGGTTACGAGCCCATGGTCTATTAAATCTCAACATTCTGAGATTTAAATCCTCATAGATCAAGCTCTAGGCAGGCTGCGTGCCAAATTTATCGAAGTTATTTGTTGCAATACAAAATTATTTTAATCTTTCCAGCTCTAGATTAAAATCTACTTAAAATGTATATCAATAATTTAAAGTCTCAACATTCTGAGTATAAAATCCTCATTTAGCAAGTTCTTCTAATCTCATTCTCTGTATTTAGATTCAAATGAAGTATATATAATTTTTCTATTGGACCTCTCAGCTAGGGTATTTCAACTTCTGTATCTCCGAGTACTCTCCGCTTTCTAATATTGCCCTTTTCCCAGGCATACGTCGCTCTTGGGGTCTGGCCCAGCAGCCCGTAACCAAATAGAGAGACGACGGGACGGCCAGTTGGACTGACAACCGTAAAAGTGTTGCCTTTGCAATGGAATGTAAAGTCATCTTCATGCATAAATAAGCGTGTGCATGCCCCTCTTCCCCGCAACACACACACACACACACACACAGAGAGAAACCCCTCTACTGCTGACCGTCAAGGCAGTCCACATATATTCCATATCAATTTCCATATTAAAATAGTTCGAGGCAAGTGGATAAGGTATTCTCTGCCCGAGTTTTCTTTGATTTGTTTGTGCGAGCAGCAGCAAGCACCGCAACTGCGAGTGTATTTTCCCACATCATTTTGCCAGCGCAGAGAGTCCAGAAATATTTCTAATTGAATGCACAGCCAAAAAAGTTAAAATAGTCATTCAGTTTCAACTGTTTTTTTTTTTTGGCCAAGCTACAAAAAACTTGGACTGTCTGCAGTTTGGGAAATGCTTAATTTCATTAAATTTGATGAGATGTGCTTTTTTAGTTTCTTGGGCTCAGGTGTGAACTTTGATATTTATTTGGGTTCCAACAATTGAAGCTTCATAATTGATTGTTATGTTTTCCTTTTGGGGTCGAGGAAAGATTTTAAATTTTCTTTGCTGATGCGGCAGTTTTTTCTTTTTTTTTTTGAAACATAATTAAAATTGGACTGGGAATCAAATGGTGTTCGCCCTAAAAATGGAAACTAAAGGTTACAGCCGAGTTCTGATAATTGGGAAAATAGTAAAGAGGAGTATGCCAAATTTATGCGAAATACTTTCGCAATTCTGGCTTTAATCACACTGCGACAATTCGTTTAAAACAAAATCAAAGTTTTGCAGAAAAGAAGCTATAATTCAGATGGACTAACTTTTATTGGATTGGCATTTCGTGTGGTTTCCCCAAGCTGCTGTTGTTTGCCCTGCTGTACCCTGGCAAAAGGGTATTATAACTTTGCGTTGAGCTATGCAACGCACAGAAGGAGGCAACTCTCGAAAGATGAGGTTAATTAAGCTTGGTTAAACTTGGGTTGGGGATTTTTTATAAATAAAATTATTAAAAAATAAAGGAAATAAGCTTAAAAGCAGCTCCTTATATAAATCGATCTCCTTGTTCCCCTCTCCCTATTTATTCTTTCTGGTTTGTTTATCGTAAATTTAGTACTTTTCATTTGTATTAAATAAAGTCTTAACCAAAAAATAATTATAAAATCAAATTACTCACGATTTTAACACCCAATCCTCAGTGTCTCTCGCTCTCTTTATCTCACTATCTCAATTTTAATGCTCTTTCATTCATTCGTTTTCTGTAACTCACTTTTTAGGTCACATTTTATCACTTGGAGCAAGAGTAGGTTCTCGAGAAGATGTCCGCCTTGGCAAGCAAGAAGACTTGAACCTAAAAAAGATAAATTTATTTATTAATTAATAAACATTTTCTTAAGAAACATAATATGATACCTAAAACGTTTGTAATTTAAAACAAGAAGAAAATCAAGAATAAAATCGTTTCAATTAAAAGCTTTCATTCTATTCTATTTTGGGGGGATAGTAAAAAAAAAGGAGAATTATTCAATTGCCTTAAATACTCAAAACGTATATTATTAAGTTCTGAAAAATGTATGCATATGTACACTTGGCAAGGGTATTCAATATTCGCTAACTTGGCTAATTATTTGCTGGCTGTTTTCTGTTGCCCCTTGGCCGACGTTGACTGCTGCAGATTATTTGAAATTCAAGTGTCATTAAGTCGAGCGTTCGGGCGCTGGCCTGAGCTGGGCTTTGGCTGTGGCGTTATGGGTGGGCGTGGCCATATGGGCAACTGTGGCTAGTGCGCGCAACAATTTATGTGCATTTATAATTGAAAGGGACAAAAACACACAGAAAAAAAGCCAAAAAACCAAAGCAGCAGCAGGAGCAGCAGAAAACAAACGTCGCAGACAACGGACACAAATTGAATTGGCTAAAAAGTTTTAATTAATTTATTGTTACTTCAGCTGGCAGCTCCGCGTCCCGCCCCAAGACCAGTTGGCTGCTCATTTAAATTGTTGTGTTTTGCTGGGACACTTTTCATTTTCATTTCACATGTTGTTCTTGTTGTTGTTCATGTTGTCGAGTTAATGCATGGCTGCAAAAGTTGGCTAATTGTCTAGTGTGTTTGTCCAGCAGCAGCAGCATCGAGCAACCCGGCCAAACAACTCAATGGGGAGGGAAGGGTGTCATGTCCTGGTCTGGGTAATGGCCAGCACTGAGTCAGCAGGTTTTTTTTTTTTTTTTTTTTTGGGCAGCACAAGAAATACGCACGACCCCCGCAGTTTGACCAATCGAACGAAATCTTTCGGGCTCACATTTAGACGGAAACAAAAAGTTTTGTAATTGAAATGTACCCTAATTAGAAACAAAAGGTAGGCTTAGCTGAATGCTAATCTACCCCATTAGCATATTGTACAATTCAAAATGAATAAAAACGAGCTTAAGCTACATTTAGCTTAGAGACGAAGTCTCAATATTGCCAATCGTAAATGTACTCAAACATGTTTTTTGTTTTAGGAAACTGGTTTTAAACTAACTTTGTGTGTAAAGGCTTAGAGGTGTTTGTAAGGAAGATAAGTAATCTAAAGGAGATATATATAAAAAAAGGGTTAAAAAGAACTGTTAGTATGAAAAAAATAAAAACAAGTTACGTCTACTTCTATTCGTTACAAACTTCATGACAAAGTAGTTATATCCTCTACAAGTGCATGTAAAATGGGATTCAATACAGAATTTTATCAGCACAAACTTTGTTTATTTTAAAGCAGTCGCATTTTAATTCAACTGCAGACAAATCTCAAATATAATTTCCTTATTGTTTTGCTTTGAATTAGATATCAATAAATTGTATGAACCTTTCTACACTACGCCCCTTGTCTATCTAGATATTAAGTTGAGTGTGTGTGTGTGTGTGTGTGTGTGTGTTGCATGCCCCCCTGACCGCATCTTAAATCAAAATGCTGAAATTGCCACGGCCAACAAGATGTGTGTTTGTGTGTTGCTGTGACATTTTTATTGAATTTTAATTTATGCCTTTTAGCAGAGTTCTATGCGGCACAGAACACACAAACACGCAGACATACGCACACAGGCGAAGCTGTATCGAGGGGCATCTCAAGGGTTTGCTCAAATCAAAACCAAAATCAAAGTCAATAACCTGGCCAAGAGGCGGCTGCTGCTGTTGCTGCTGCAGTTCTTGTTGCAGCCGGGTTCAACTTTGAAAAACTGAAACATAGAAAACAAAAATAAATAAACAGCAACAACAAAACAAAAACCAATTTCAGTTTTTGAAGCGTGACAACAAACGACATTTTCCAACCTGGGACCAATGTCTCGGGTCCACTGGACCGAGAGCTCGCCTTGTTTTGATTACCTGAGCGAGAAGCTGTCGCCCGCTGCTATACCCTTGGCAAAAGGGTATTCTAATACTGAGCTGAAATGAGTTACACATTAAAAGTGGCTGTTGTCGACGGCATGACCTGTATGTGCATGTACTTGAGCAGCAAAAATGTGGAGTCGATATAGCTAAATGAATATATAGAGCTTAAAGCTAAAGGCTGCTTTGACAGTACATGTATCAATCGATTCTTCAGTCAGCAAACAAATTCTTCTAATTGCTTTTAAAGATATCCCGTGAGCTCTACTTAAACTCAACATTTAAGTAGAATCCTAGTAACAGTGGACACCTGTATCATATAGTTTCCATATTGTTTAAAAATGTTGTGCATTTATTAAACTCGTTCCTGTTTGCCCTGAATTCCTGACCAAGCTCTTATACTATATAATGTAGCTCTCATGAATATATCTTAAATATGCACTGCAAGGGTATTACACATTCGTTATTCTACTTATGTCACTTCATTCCTTTCTCTTATTCTTGTTGTAGATCCGTTTTTGACCAAGATCTTGCAGCTGGGTTCATTGACTGGCCGCGTGCTGGGCGTGGTCACTCTCTACACACATGCATATAAATGCAGCTAGAGATTTTTAGATATGATATCCAAATTTATGGCTACTTGAATGCGGCACTTTAGTGTGAGCTGCAGGCAGTCCCATTCAAACATGATGTCTTTTAATTTGTATGGATTTATGTTAATCTCGCCGGACGATTTGCTATATGGGATAAGCCAATATCGGGCTCGGTTCACTGAACCCGAAAGCAGTTCTCGCTAACTATGACAAACAGCTCGCTGAGCTGATAATCCACAAGTGTTGGCAGTTGGCGCGTTGCATGCATCAACAAGTTGCGGCCACGGCGTTGACTTTGCTTTTGCCTCATCATCAGCGGCCGACAAAAACGACCAGCTAAATAAAAATAAGAAAAAAAAACACGCCAGCATACACACACACACACAATTTTCACACTCTGCGCGCAAAACAAACATCGCATTGGCTAATAACATAAGCGGGCAAGCAAACAAACAGGCCAAAACACCCCGTCCAACCGCCCAACCACCCCCGCACAGCCAAACCCACCCGTGCCCACTAAGCAGTGGCTGTGACAGCGGTTTGAGAGATAGAGCGAGTGCGAAAACTAATAAAGACAAGTGGCAAGTCAGAAGCAATTGCCCCAGCTTCACCACCCAGTTCCCGCCCCAGCTCTAGACCCAGCTTCTGCCGCAGCTTCTCTCCCAGCTCAGTTTGCGTGCCCCTAGCATAGTTCCAAGTTCCATTTCCAGCTTTAGTCCAATCTCTGCCACATCTTTCACTTTGCTGCTGCTGCTGCTGCACTTGTCCTGCCAGCCAAAGCCTTTCAGCAAACACATGGCTGCCAGTCCAGTCAGAAGGGGTGTGCGTGTATGTGTGTGATGTGTGTGGCTGGTTGGGTGTCCCATTAGTGCCGTGCGCTAATCGCCATTGTCCACCCTTGTCAAAGTCGGACTAGCAACTGGACTTGGTCTCTGACTTGGACTCATGCCCTGCTCGCAAAAAAAAATGTCTAAGAAAGGGTATATTGCAAATTTACAAATTTATGTAACAGGCGGGGGGAAAAGCATCGGCAAGCCCACAAACTAAATATGTATAGCTGATCAACAGAAATAATCGACTTGATCTAGACATATTCGACTTTTTCTATAGACCGTATAATCTCTGAGAGCTCCTTAAAGCTCAGTTTTGATTTAAATTTTCGATAGCTTTAACCCTACGCCCCAAGTTTTGTATTAATAATTTGATAAATATTTACTTACTCATTAATTTGTTATTATTTTTTATTTTGAGCTATTCAGATCCTGCTGTCTTCAAAATGAACATCTATTATAATGAATATATATTAAATAATAAGTATATTAACAGAAGAAAAGAAAGAAAGCACAAAAGTTATGCCAAGAACAAGCTGGTTATGCGGCAAGTGAGTTTTTTGTGCAAATCTTAATACGAATGTTTGCTAAATACAGGGTATCGCCTAGTCGAACAACCTCAATTGCAGCTTTTTTGCTTGAACTTTTTTTTTTTTGTTTTTGGTAACTTGAAATTGCCAACATTGAAGTATTTTATCTGAAGAAAGGTTCAGCTAAAAGCGCAAATAAATAATCAGCAACAGTTGCCAAATAGATCAACACATTTTCACACACCCACAAGGAGGCGTTGGGTAGTGGGCGTGGCTGTGTAAGCACTCGCTGTAAATCCGTTTTTCGGTTTGTGGCATTTCGAGACATTTGCAGGGTTTTTGCTCGTCTAATAAATTGCAATAGATTATTGTCAGCAGCTTTCAATGTGTCAGCGGGGAGCGACCCTCGCATTTGTTATTGTCCTGATTATTATTATTATTATCCTGGCGCACATAACTGTAATCTGTAAGCTGCAATGCGCGCACTCGAATCCTCGAGATCCAAGCAGATGTAAATCGTCGCAATTCGGTTAAATCACGTGTAAACATAGCCAAATATGGCCCTCTAATGGACCACATTCCGCTTGCTGGGCTATCGGTGGTCGAGCAGGCGGCGAGCCACAATTCGATGTGGCTTTCTATGGCTTTTCCGGCGGGTTAATTGCAGTTGGGGAAAACCCACAAAGTTCTATTAATTGAATGCCATGCGATAAGTGTTCGACAACTAATAAACGAAGAAAATCAATTCTCTCTGTATTTGTTCTTTCTTCATATAATTGGCACGTTGCGGGGAAATGGAATTGGAAATAATACATTTTCTGATTAGATCATGAGCTTTTCACATTTTCACCTGCGATTTTAGGCAAACCAGTTCCAAATACTTGAATGGAATTTGAAAACCTTCAAATTATTTAATTTATAGTTTAAAAATTAATTCTTTGCGGGATTCGAACTTTGCTGCTCATTCACTTTGAACAAATGCCCTTCCGAGGATTTATTCTGGTTTTTCTGTAGTTTTTTTTTTTTTGGATTACCCA